TCTTCTTCTTCTTCTTCTTCTTCTTCTTCTTCTTCTTCTTCTTCTTCTTCTTCTTCCTCCTCCTCCTCCTCCTCCTCCTCCTCCTCACTGTAGTAAGCACTGAAGAAGCTGTAAGCAGGTATGAAAAAAATTCACAGTTCTTTGCAACATTGGAACCAGGAGTGCAGAACAGACAAATATGACAGTATTATTTGATGGACAATCTCTGTTGAAAAACATAATTGCATTAGGATATTTCCATACAAAACATTTTCCTAGAAAGTGTTTAACTCTTCTACAGTATTCAAATGGCTGGTTTCCTGTTCCTTTATTCCTAACAGTGCTTTGGGAATTCCCCCCCCCCTTTTCACTGAAGGTTTTTTGGGCAAAAGAGTCTTTTGACGCTTTGACAGTTTATAGATTCACAGTGGAATATTATCACCTTTCCCCCCCTGACATGATCACTGACTTTGTTGCAGCATATGATGAACTGGCCAAAATCTTTGAAGCACCAACTAGTAGATACTGCTTTACTATTTTTTCCAGATGTCCTAATGAAATATGTGCAACTAATTTCTGCTAGGCCCAAGTTTACCAACTCTAATAATTGCCTCTCCGGCAACTGCAAAAGATATTCTTCCCATTATGAAATGGGGAAAGCAAGAAAATAATTACATCTATAATTTTTCAAACCAGGGATATTGTACTTTGCCACTTAGGAATTGCCAAATATTAATTTTTTTTATAATAAAGTTTATTTATTGCTCAGATACAGTGTTACTTTAAAGATACTTTGCTGGTTTAATAGGTTTTAATTGTTAGCTGTCTGTTCTTCATTGTATGATTACAAACATTTGATTTCATTTTGAAAACTTCAAGGCTTGTAAGCTAAGAACTGATTCAATTGTGTAACAAGGCACATAGTATACTTCTTTCATGGGACTATAGCACCTCAGATATGTACATGTACAGATCGCATGCTCATCCACTTTAAAATTCCACTTGCATGTGAAAAACTGGTACGTGAACGAGAAGGGCTTTCAGTTTTACTGTATGTTTGCATCCCCTTGGTGATTATTGAAATCAATTGAACTCAATTCCTAGCAATTGTGTTTAGGACTTGTGGGAGAGGCTAGAATTCTACAGACACTTACATATACAACACTCTACTGATTATAACAGAGGCTATGACATACAGCTGTGAACTAGAGTGAAACCCTAAGGGTACACTCAAGCACAAAGTGAAGCATATTTAAATGTCTATTGAAATTGATGTGAGGGACTGAACACATGTCTTGATTGTGCATTGGAGAGCACCCTAAGGGCATCTTCAATCACATATAGCTGCCACACAACTCCCATTCGTTTCACAAGCCCCAAGTGTTTGGTGGATTATGGGTTAAACATTTTTAAACAGCTTATTTGTGGCAAAACACAAAAGTGGGAGTACAGCTTCAACAATATAGAGGATCACAAACCGGGATGTGTAATTATTTCCACATAATGGTACCATTATAAATGTAATAGAAGCTATTTTTTATGGGACAATTTAATGCACTTGGATGTTAAATACACACAGGTGCCCTAAATGTATTTCATTTGTCCATTAAACTATCAAAGGTAGTTGCATGTGAGTTTTATTATGAGACATGAAACTGAGCAATAATGCTGAACTGATACATGGAAGGAACTGTTAACAGAATCCTAGAGCAGCCACTCTTCCTGAGCTGTGCCATTTCCGTTGAAAGAAGAACAACATTCATAGTACAAACAGGAGATATTATTTCAGCTTTTTCACTCACAGTAGCTTGTTCACATGCAAATGATGCTTAGTTTAGATACTGGTGTTTCTGAAGGTAACTGAGATTAGGTTTCAGTAATGGAAGATAAAGGGTAGGGTAAACACCATGTAATTTTGTTTCTTGTTTATTAGCATCTTGGGGCTTTGCTACCATTGTTTGTATGTTCGTGCACCAATAGCAGATGATGAGTGCTGGAAATCAAGGGTTTACCTGGACTTTGCAAGAACTTGTGGTGTCTTTCACACAATTAGAAAAGACACCTTTACACATTTATCTGCTATTTTGACATATTTACTGCTTTACAACTTTACAACCTTATAACCTTAGCTTGTTATTTTTGACCTTGCATATCTTAAACATCATCATGTTCCATGTTCATTTGCTGTTAAATCCCTGTTTATAAGTTTGAAAATTACCTACAATTCCAATGTACTTGAAAAGTGTGCACACACAAAAAAGCTCACACCTTGAATAAACCTTTGTTGGTCTTAAAGGTGGCACTGGACTCTAAATTTGTCTTTCAGTGTTAGTGCTGCCGATCTCCAGGTGAGGCCTGGAGAACTCCCCCACTCCGACTTCCCCACCTGCCACTCCTCCCCCAATTCCCATCCACCCCCTCTCTAGGGCTGCCAAGTGGGGGCGGGGAAACCACCGCTTTGGTGGTCCGATTTCCGCTGCCGTGGAATCGGGCCCCAGGGGGAACTCCGCCCCCCCAAAAGCAGTGTGGGGGTGTGGCCTGGATCACCAGAGGGAAAACTCTGTGGTTTCCCCCCTGACAATCGGGGCCATGCCTCCAACGTGGGCAACGTTGCACGTCACTTCTGTTGATGTGCTGGCGGCGCACACGCGTGCACATCCGGAGCCGGCTCCCAGGGCCGTCGGAGCCTCCCCCGCCGGTGAGTTTGTGGGACTTGGCAACCCTACCCCTCTCCCACCTGCCACCCCTCCCCCACTCCTCTTCCCTCACTCCCCTTCCTCCCAGAGGTAGTTATGTGACCCCTCTATGAACTCATCTTGGCAGTCCACAGCCACTTGCTGCTCAGATGTGCCAATGGGCATGGGGCCTGCTCTTTAAATGGCGGGGGGGGGACTCTGCACAGTCATGCAGCATGCTTTCTGCTGCTGCTGGGCCTTTTGCGACATGGAGAACTCCTCATAAACTCTCCCAAAATGGAGGGACCCCAAGTCCATAGAGGGTTCACATACCTAGTGGGGGGGAGGGGTGGCAAGTGGTAGATGGGGAGTGGGAGAAGAAGTGTAGGGGATGGGGAGATTTCACTTTAATGGAATGTACCGCCCTTATCCTACTCCCTACATTTCCCCTCTGTACTCTCAGATAGTGTCAGATCCTCAGCCGTGACTCCACAATTTAATGAAATACCACAGTGTAGCTACTGCAATATTATAGCTTATTTTCATGTTTTGATTAATGTTGCCCAAAGATATGTATCCCAGGAAGTCTCTTCAGCATGGTTCCATGTCTACAAGGAGTGTTTTCAGAAAACTTAGAAATTATTTTAAATAAATTACGTCAAGTTTACAGTTACAAAAATGAAGAAAAGAAATATCCCTCTTGTATTGCTGAACCTTGGTTTCAGAGGTCAGTATAGTGCAGGCTGCTCTAACGTAACCAATTTGTGCCACCCTGATATAAGCAAAATTCTTAAAACTGCTCCTGACAGTATGGTCTTCATTCTAATCACTACTTACAGGAGTAACTACTTGCATGTTTCCCTCTTGGGCTGTTTCACCTTAGGCTGTTCACTGCTTGTTAGTGAGACCAATGTGGATAGCTGATGATAATTATGGATAATGTTAAAGACTGCAAAGCTCTTGCTTCACCTTAGAAGCTGAGCTGCAATCTGTTCAAACGTATTGCTGTGATTCTTTCACCAATTTATCCTTGTTTTCAGAAACAGTAGATGAGGAGGTAGACCAGTTTCTTGAATAGCTTCTGGCATTTCACAGGTGAAAATAGGGTTGTGCTTGTAACACCCATTGTCTCTTACCAAGTATCACCACCTGAGGTCTTCTATTGTACATTGCTGTTGCTTCTATATCTGTTGCATTGATTTACTAGGCAATAGTCTGTCCTGCACTGTTTTAAAAGCCAGGTGTTTATCTTCTTTACACAGAGAGTGATTAAAATGTGGAATTCACTGCCAGAGGGTGTAGTGATGGCCACAGGAGTAGACAGCTTTAAAAGAGGATTAGATAGATTTCATGGAGGATAGATCTGTTAGTGGCTACTGACTTCGTGACTGAGCAGAACTTCCACATTTAGAGACACTAAGGCCGAGTTCAGACTGGCAGCCAAACGTTTCAGGAGCGTTTCAGGAGCGGATTAAAGGGGCAGGTTCACACAGGCACATCTGCCAGGCATCCCCCAGCCATACTCAAGCCATCTTGTGCCGCTTCCCTCCCGAGTTTAAAAAGTACCAGGTGAAAGTGGTAGCAAACCGTGTGTAGAGCAGGTTGATTCCGGTTCCCTGACATGTGAAAGCAAGTGCTGCTAAGGCAGGAACAACCCACAGTCGTTGATAATAGGCACTGGCTGAAACAGCCACTAACAGCCCACCAGGAGCAGGCCGACAGTGCGAACGCTCCCTTGCGCTTCCTCCACGGTATCCTCCCGCTTCATTCGCTGCAGTGTGAATGGGAATACCGCAAACAAGCCGTTCCCAGTCTGTTCCGGGTCTTCTTTGCCATGACTCCCTAGCGCTTCAAATTGCCAGTCTGAACTCAGCCTAAACCTCTGAATCCCAGTGCCAGGAGGCAACATCAGGGGAAGGCCTTGGCTTCTATGCCCTGTTGTTGGCCCTCCAGAGGAACTGGCTGGTGACTGTGTGAGACAGAATGCTGAACTACATGGACCACTAGGCTGATCCAGCAGGGGCTTCCTATGTTCTTAAGATACATTAGAAAATATAATTATGCTAAAATAGACTACCAACAGTGGAAGTATACCTCAGCATCTGCAATTGGGAAATGGTAGGGTATGTATTTAATGTTCATATGTGTCAAGGCTTTAACAACATGTGTGCATTTGCATGCATATGCAGTAGATACTAATGGTCCATCTCTCCTTACTCACACTTAGAGGTTTAAGTTCTCAAGACCCTGGGGAGGGAGTTGCACCTTCAATAATGACAACTGTAGCTGTTCACAATAGCAAAATACCAATGCCCATTCCCAACAGGCAGAAATTAAGACACAATAGGAACAATGAATTACCAGGGATAAGTGCCAGAAAACAGAGAATGCCCCTGATAAATATGGATAATGTATGCAAACTGCTCTAAAACATACCCTAAAGAAACAGATGTCAAGGAGAAGGATTCTAGCCTAGCTAAACACAGGTCCCATTCACACGGAGAAGTTGCCACACTAAAGACAGGGATGATAGGCAGATTTTCGGTGCACGATCACACCTGGGAACATCTGGGAAGCGTAATACACCCGTGGCTAACCCGTGGCTTCTCGCCGAAGATGCGGAGTAAAAAACTACCACATACGATGTGCTAGTTTCCGGAAAACATGGGGCAAGGGCGGGCGTCTGATTGCGTTTCCGCTTGAATCCCGTGGCATCCGGCGCCCATCCATGTCCCGTCGCACACTGGATGTGGTGGTTTTTTGGGTAAGTTTCCACAGGATGTGCACAAATGATCATGCACATGCGCAAACTTCGGTGTGAAAAAAAAATCCTGTTTGCCACAGAAGCGATTGCCAGATTGCCTAGTGATTGCCGGTGTGATTGCACTGCGCTGCTTCTTTGCCGTGCTGCAGG